CCCCCCGCCCCCTACTTACCGGCTCTGAGTCAGACTCCATCTCCCTGCTGCAGCAGGCAGGGACTGCCTGAATCAAAGCTCTCAGAATCTTTTCCAACAATTTGGAGAGCTTTGAATTGATTTGGACCTTTTCATTGGTCCCAATTCAGATTTGGAGATTTGGCCATTGACTTGGGCCGAATCTCCTCCAAATCGAATCAGCACCTGAAGCTTTGCACAGCCCTAGAGAACAGCACATACATCACATCAAGAGCCTGAGGGGTTGGATCTGCCAGGGGAATATGCTTGGAGCCAGAGGATATGTATGTCACTTGGGATATTGGTAGAGGAAAGTAAGAGGATATAACCCAAGGGTTGATGGGAATAATTTTACTGGGGTGTATGAGAAGAGGATAAAATGTATGTGAGAGTGGGATAAAGCATTTTAAGTAAAGGAGAAATGGGTAGGCCTGGAATGAATTACTGGAGAAGACTAGACTAATTTAGATTTAGCCCTCTTTTTTTGGCCTTGTTGTGAGATCCCTCCTCATCAATCTTTCTCACATTGAACAGAAATAATTTATTGGCAGGCAGGCAGGAAAGAAACGGGAAAAGCCATGTTATACATGTCAAACAGAGCTTCCTATAACTGCAGACTGGACAAGAGCTAAAGAATCCTTGGAGTTAGCTAGAACCCTTGCCATGTAAATCTAACTAACTTGGGAAATACTTAGATACTAGGGTGATAGATACTTTAAAAATAATTTAGCGGTCCCTATACGATATGCTGAGCTAGCTTTAAATTAAATTGATTTGGAAAAAAATATGATACGCTGAAGTCACTGCTCTAACTGCACTGCAGACTTATGTGCAGAGAGAAAGGAACACGGGGAGGGGAGACAAGAAAGGGAAAGAGGAGGAGAAGGAAAGGAGGTGAGAAAATGAGTAGGGGATGGGGAGGAGGAATGGTGAAAGGAAAAGTGAGGGTAGGAATGTTGAAGAAGGCAAGGGTGAGAGGAAGGGAAACGGGGGAGAAGGGGACAGGTTGTAGAAGGAGGAACAAAAGGGAAAAAACTAAAAGGGGAAGGGAAAAGAGAGAGGGGAAGTTTATCTGGCATATAGGGCTGCATCTACCTGCCCTGGGCCTGTCAGTGTAGGGCAGAACAGCGAGAGGTAAATCTATAACCAAAGTTCAAGTTATGGGTGTTACATAACATTACCCCGGTGCTGATCTGCCGAACTATCCCATGGCGGCGTTCTCTTGGAATTGTGTGAAGTTTATCATGTAAAAACCTCAGGGAAACCCACAGACAAAAATGAGGTAAAGCCAGAGCTCAGGTGTAAACAGCATAGTGATGATTTAAAGTATATTTTGTTTCAGTAGTGGTGAAATTGCTACAAATCCAGGTGTTCAAAATAGCCCCGCTGTCCCTTTGAGCTCAGTTTCTGGTGTAATCCCTGCAGCAGACATGCCAGGAAAGCACACTGATTGTGTCAGCAAGTCTCTCTATTTAGTAACACACTTTGAGCAGAGGGCCACCAAATTCTGATATTTTTCCTAGGGTGACTAAATCCAAAAGTCCCAGCAGGAGGTGGGTCAGAGTGTGTAGTCTGGTACTTACCCATGTGTTATACATCCATCAACTGCAAGCTGTGAGTGGGTGTTTAATGAGGCACCTGAGGAAACTGGGTGGTTTCCATGCAGAATGCTACCAGGGTTGCAATTAGAATAATTAGAATAATCTCTTTCAGACTCTGCAATCCTGGATAATAACCTGCTGAGGTCCAATTGGATGTATGGGGCTGACTGACTGACTCTTGTGGGGCTCTCTCTTGCTATACATTTTCCCAGGTGGCAAGAGAAGGCTGTAGCCTCGGGAGGGTTACAGAGACAGAGCCATCTTCCCTTCACACACACATCTGACTTAACAGACCATTTTAAAACATGCCATGGGGGCGTCTAATATGCTAATGAAGAAAGTGGGTGGAACAGCAGGAATTTGAACACATCTAAAAATGTCAATGCCTAACAATTGCAAATTGCTTGTGCTGAAGTCACCTAACTCAGCTGACAGTTGTTAAAGGGTGGGTACATTTACCTCTAGAAATTCACATATAAGCCTCACTTTCTGAAAGTTTTCAGGACAGTCGGGGCTCTTGTGTTAAGGGTAACAATTCCTGTGTTTCTCTGTATGTGCCTAGCATTTTAGTTAAGGACATGGTTAAATATTCATATCAGAGGTCCTGAAAATGAAGCTTCACAAATTTCTCTTTCTTTTTCTATGGCAGAAAAGAGGGCCAAAGCTTGACGTCACAGAGTATAAAGAAGTCTGTGTTCAAGTTCAAGTTTGTCCATACCGTCTTAAATATTTAATTGCATCTCCAGCTGTTCACAGTACTCAGTATTTATTGCTGTCTTGAGATGGGTCTCTTCTAAAATATTGGATCTGGATATCTCCAGACTTAGAATGCTGGATCCAATGCTAGCACAGGCACATGGCTGAGGCCAAAAGCCTGAATTATGAACAACTCAGATTTGAATTCAAGATCTGAATTTTGCAGCCTGAGCCCTCCATTCTGCTGTCTTTTTTTTGTGTGTTTTTCTTTTCTTTCCTTTTTCAGACATGCACTAACTTTCCTTTGACAGATGATTGATGACTGATACAGTGGGCCACACCTCCTATACAGTGACTAGAATGTAGGTACAGCTCTTGTAATAAATTTACGAGAGAACAGCAATTGCAAAATATGATGAGGGTTTATGATCTCATGACATTGGAAAGAATGGGGTGTATGGGTTAATGCGTACAGGGAAAAATTGGGCTTGATCATATGAAAATGGAGCCCTAGACAGCTTAACATGTTAACACCATATCCCTCCACTGCAAAGAGGCACATCACAAAGAAGCAGAAGCAAATTAAGGCTGTGATGCAGAGGGTCACACACAGCACT